GTGTATGAAAGGTGCTATAAATAAATCTGCCTTCTAATGGTTACAAATGAATTATGACTGTTTTTGCTTCATAAAACCAAACATCGAAAGCTGGAATCAGGGGAGAAAAATCAGCTGAAGGAAAAATGAAGGTTATTTGCTCTTTGTGTCCCAATTCAGGGGCTGGATCCTTCAAAGGACGCGGTCTTTGAAGGCGTGTCCTTCGAAGGCTGTGTAGACCCGCTAAGGCTGATCTGAAATGAGACGGTCTGCCCTGTGGCAGATTTCCCGTCCTCACTGTTGCACCACGAAACGCCGAAAACGTCTGACAACTTCTTTTAAAGTTCTTGAAAGACGGAGCCACAAACTTTGATTTTAGTGGTTTATTTTTTCATTTATTAGAGCTGGAGATGCTTCACCGCCGGATACTGATGAGATTTTTTATTTTTTTTGTATTTTTAGCTATTCGCCTCAGTTTAAACCCCTATACTCCCTATACATATATAATATATATTTATATATATTTAACTTATATTTAAAGTGTCTCCTCAGCCGCCGTTCACTCCTCTGTTGATGCTGCCATGTCCTCGGATCCTCGCCAGCACACAGTGAACCTCGGGATATGTTTGCCATGAAAAAGGACACATTTCTCAGCCGCATATGAAGGAGCCTTCGAAATGGGACAGTGTAGTCGCATCACTGTGATGCAATCGGCCTTTAAATGCAGCCTATGAAGGACGCAGCCCTTGAATTGGGACACTGTTTAAGTGAACGTATGTTTGTCAGGCATGTCAAACTGGGGACCTTCTGGGCCAAAGTGCTGCAGAGAAAAGCCTTGCTGATTAGCTGATGAGCTGAGTCAGGTGTGTTTAATGAGAGAACGTGCTGAGGTCTGCAGTGTTTTGGCCCACAAGGCCTGGAGCGCCTGACACGTGTGGTTTAAGTGATTGTATGTCTGTCTGCAGATGTCACTAAGCCCTCGGTGAACATGGGTGGAGTGAAGCCTGCACTGCAGTCAGCACCTTCAGCGTATTTCCCCGGATGACCCGCACCGCACCTCTCTACTGACCTCTAATCTCCAACCAGCTGATCCACACGCGTCTCTACAGACACATCTACATCGCCGTGTTATGCTTGTGTGTGTTGTGTTTATAAGTACTTTTCTAATTATTTATTAAAACTGATTTTAACCCTTTATTCATTTGCAGCTCGGTTGTTTTGCACAGCTTTCTGGTTGCTGAGGATGCTTTGGTCTGAAAAAGGCTTCAGTGTGGGAGCAGAAGTGCTCATTTATGTGGTGCTACGTTTATATAATCTTGTCTTTCAAGTGTTACGTTCCAGCGACGGAGCCTCAGGCTGTATAATCTGAGTCTGTGGATAAATAGTGAGACAGAAAACTTTCCTGGTCAACATATGAACTGAATTTTAGCAAAACCATCTTCACTGCTTCTTGTCTGCTGCAGTCTGAACCGTTTTTATGGAAACCCATTCGTTTTTTTCCTTCTTGCTCTGTTCTTGGCAGCAATATTTGATTTTGACATTAAATAGTTACTTATTTCCTCATTTATTACTCAGATCAGGAGCCGGATTCGCAAAAGTGTCTGAGGAAAGAAAATCTTAAATGTGTTTTTTTTTTTCTTGACTTTGATTTTTTTTAAATTAAGAACAGAGAAATGGTTATTCTTCAAATAATTCCTATAGAATTCTCTTAATTTTTCTTAAGAAAATAGTTAAGAACAATTAAAAAAAACAAGTGGTTTTCTTAAACATTCTTACGTTTTCTTACCCTTCTGTCAGACTCGCACTCGTCTCAGGGTGTGAGTCGATGAGAAGCATCTAAATTTGATGTTTTCCCTCATTTTTGCTCTTCTGAGTGGATTAAACTAAAGTTTATACAAATTACGTAAGCTGTAAAATCCATCACATCCTACATAACAATGAAGATTTCCTTAAGAAAATAATTTCAGATTATTTTAAGAGAATATCTGAGAAACTTTAGAAGTTTTCTTATGAACTTTAGTGTTTGTCTCAAGAACCTTTGCAAGTTTTTCCTTAAGGAAGCTTTTGTGAATCCGTCCCATGGATCATTTTGACTTCTCGAATTAAGCCATACTACGTCAAAATACTGAGTTATCAAATTTCAGAGCAGAAATTTAGATGCGGTCAAAAAAAAGAATGGTCAAAATTGAGAAAATGTCATTATTTTGACACGCTTCTAGTAGTGTGTGTGTGTGTGTGTGTGTGTGTGTGTGTGTGTGTGTGTGTCGGTGATGTCAGAACACAACCTCGTATCTCCAAAATGGTAGCTTTACAGGAGAAGGAAAAAACATACTTTACTTTTAATGTAAGTCAGTGGAACCGGACATCACTGATCTCTGCAGAAACAGACTGAAGTTACAACTTTCTTTATCTACATTAGAACGAAAGTGTGGAATTGTGCTGAATTTCTGTATAAAGTTGTATATAAATTCCTACCTGAGTGTCTTGATCAGTTGTGTATATACACTGTTGTGCATTTAGGACATTGATTTAATAAATCATTTTCCATAAGACCACATACTGTATACATCTTGATTCCCACCTGCTTTAATTACTATTCATTTAAAAATTATTAAGCAACCTTATATTTTAGCTTTTGGATAATAATAATCTGTCAAAATATTGACAGATGTGAGTGCTGGTTAACTTCTCTTCATAAACAGGAGGTAAAGAAGCGTGCGGCAGTTGAATAAGTCAAAAATACTTTTATTGAAATGTGTTTGGATACTTAATGTCATATTTACATGTTCAGTCGATGACGATAACTGTATTTTAAAATTATTAATAAAAGGCAGCAAAACATGACCACAGAACATGGAAAAGCATACAGTATCAAGACTCGAGTCAAGAAATAATAATAGAGGAAATCAACTCATAAATAAGTCAGAAAGGAAAGCTACTTCAGATAAATTCACACCTGTCATAATTCAATAAAATCTATATATTTGGTCAAAATATCTTGTTAAAAACAAGCAAAACTTTTTTCTTTCCCAAAAAAAAGAGTAAAGTATAGAAGGCCACTAACAAATCCATCTTCTGCACTCTTCGATGCCCTCCTGCTGACTGAAAAGTGAAAAGGTCCTGCATGGCAACGTAACGTGGTCTGAATGATTCCTGTGTAAACTTACTGAAGGAGGATCTTAAAGGGACTCCAGCGCTTTTCAGCCTCACCTCTGTCTGGTAGATCATCAGACCGGCAATTAGCATGGACTATAATTTCGCCGTGTCGTCCTGTACTTAGAAAAGAACAGAAAAACAGCTGACTCGACACTTACGATAGAAGTTAATTAGCAGGGGTGTTCTGAGGCGACAGGTTCTCTGTTCCGTCATTAAGTACAGAGAAACGTATCAGAACGATTGTGCACCATAAACGAAGGGATGATAGAAATTCGGCTGAAAAGCGCTGAAGTTCCCCTTTAGGATCTTCCATCTGGTCCCATCAGCTGCACTCATCCGTTCAGCTTGTGGTTTCTGTTCAGTCCTCTGTTCCACGTGTTGCATCTGTTTATCTCCTCTAATACACCAAACTCAGTTTCAGGAAGGGCTGAATAACTGACCCATTTAGGCTCCGCCCACAAATGCATTCTTTCATAGCAACTGTTGCTCAGCTGGATAAGAACTTTTACAGAAATAACTAGAGGGCGAAAACTCAACAAACTTTAAGCCGGCTTGGCAAAGCCGTTGCTTTGGAATCCCAAATGGTTGCTAGGGTGTTGCTATGTTATTACTGGTGGCTGCTAAGATGTTGCCAAGGTGTTGCTATGGAATCCCAGGGAGTTGCTCAGATGTTTCTAGGCTGTTGCTAAGATGTTGTTTGGCTGTTGCTATGGAATCCCAGGGAGTTGCTAAGATGTTGCTAGGCCGTTGCTATAGAATTCTAGGCAGTTGCTAAGATGTTTCTAGGCTGTTGCTATGGAATCCCAGGGAGTTGCTAAGATGTTTCTAGGCTGTTGCTATGGAATCCAAGGCAGTTGCTGAGATGTTGCTAGGCTGTTGCTACGGTAACCCAGGTGGTTACAAATTTTCCCTGGGGGGAATAAAAAAATAAAAAATAAATAAAATCGTTTAAACCAAGGCTGGACATGCGATTGGACCCAAAAGCACTAGCGCACTATTCCCGTACAGCCTCTACGATCCTGCACGGTTTCATGGTTCTAGCTCAAAAACTGCAACCTGCTAGAACACAAAGAAGCACAAATTCATAAAACAAAAATGTTTTCAAGCCAATTTAAACAGAACCTGAAATCCAAACCAAACAAAAAATCCTGTTATTTACTTTGTACGAATGTGAACGGTCAGACTGTCAGAACAGATCAGACGTAGTTTTATTATTGGGTTTTTCGTGTAACCGAGCTGAAGTTAGAGATTAGTTTATCACGATTGAACAAAAATCACTACAGTTTCTAATTAGGCTGAATGAGATTTCTGACCGTTCTGTAAAGCTTGCCCAACCTGGCAACTGTTGCTATGAAAGGACACATTAGGTAGTGGAGCATGAAAAGATCAGTTACCTGCTGACCTGAATCAGGTGTATTACAGGTGAGCAGCAATAAAGCAGACGCAACGCATGGAGCTCCCAGCACTAGGATTAAGAACTGCTGTGCTAAACAACGCAACCACATGTTGGGGAAGGCACCAATAACGCTAAAGTGGTACAAATTATAATAATAATAATAATAATAATAATAATAATACATAGGCAACAATCCTGATAAGCATGAAAGTAAAGGTACTGTAAAAATGAAGCTGTAACAATCTCCATTTCACCACATGGCTTCTCTTTCACAGTCTGAAGCTGAGCTGTTGATTAAGGCTGTTCCTAACAGGGTCATTTGAACCTGCACACCTGACTGACCACGAGCACCCTGTGTTCTAGTCTTAACCTAAAAAAAGGGTTTAAGTGTTTGTACAGACTTCCAATCTGAATAACCGCTTTGCTTAAGATCTGTAACGCTGTTTTTGTTTGAGGAGTCTTTCAGACTGGATGCTGCGTCCAGAAACATTCTTGACCAAGGTTCATGTCCCTGAGTGAGCCGGTTCCGTGTAGAATTATCACATAAATGCACAAAATGGTCAGAAACTCAATAGAAAAAGAAAAGAATGAAAAAAAAAAGGAATAAATACAAGCCATTGCGACAGTGCCTTTGGACAGAACCATCATTAAATATATGTTCCTCTATGTACACGATTTTCTTTCTTAAAAACCGCCAGTTTTGCGTTTGATAGCTTTACATTCTCCCCGATACCTGCCGACCCGTTTTACAGTCTGGAGAGGGAGCTGGTTCTGGCCGTCCAGCGAGCAGTCCATCAGACGTTAGTGTCCTGCAGGAGGGGCTCCTTGGCCTCCCCCGGCGGCTGGGGGCTGTGGGGGTGCCCGTGGGGCGACGTGTGCTTCTTCCAGCTGCCCGTGCGGGAGCCCAGGTGAGAGTGCTCGGGGATGAAGAGCGCCACCAGGAGGGCCAGGAGCACAGAGCAGGCGCCGAACAGGAACGGAGGACCAGGGATTATTGCACTCTAAGAGGAGGGAGAAGACGAAATCAGCACATCATCACTGTTTTAATAAAACCTCATATTTCGGATACGGTAAATGTTACAGACAAGGGGCCATGCCACCCAAATGTTAAAAAAGAGCCATTTTGTCCTTTCAGAAACAATCAAACCTCCTCGGCAGGCACAACATTTTACGTCCATTTTACCATCTTGGCTGTAAATGTGTCTCGGTATGTGCTGATGTTCTAGTATAGACTAAAAATATAATAGAAACGAAACCACTTTGCTCTGCTTTACTCTTTAGCTCAGCTATCATCACTTTTCTTACATCTCAGGCAGGAAACTTTTCCGCAGACGTAGAATAGTTTCGTGTAAAATCTCATTCATAAACATTCGACTTTTACGAGGCTGAAGTAAAACCGTGCCTGAGGTGCCATTTAAGGTGGAATGAGAGAATTCAAATGAGAATCTGACTTCATCTCCACAACTTTTTAGGGTTTTTCAGCTTCTCGTTGCAGATTAAAGGTATCAGGAAACCAGCTGAGTGCAAATGAGTATAAATGCAAATCAGTCCATTTGTCAACAAATTACAGATGTTGGTCTTAAATCTCTCTCTTTGCCCTTTCGTTAGCTACTAGATAGGCGCTGCTATGTAACCAGCAGTCTGCGCACCTACCTTCTAGGTTAAAGGGTGAATTAGCAGTTCTACATTAACTCCAGAGTTTAAGACCATTTACTGTTAAACTGTGTTGAACGATCAGCAGAGCTTTATTTTACTGTAAAGGAGGATTATTTTATTATTACCTACAAATCTGATTCTGCTGTGGAGAACAGGGCAGTAAAAGAGACGCATGTTGCCGACGTCTGATATAGCAGAAGGAAAAATATTATTAATGCTTGTTAGTGATACAAGATATTTTTTTCCATGGAATTTCGGACTGCTCCTAATAAAATGTTCACACAATATAAAGAACAGCTTTATCAAGTAATGGGAAAAAAAATAAAACAGCCAAAGAAATGTATAATAAATAAACCACACGAATACAAAATGATAACATGACTAAAGGACACTGGATTGAAAACTGTTCGGTGCTGCAGAGCTGCTCAGTTTAACGTTTACTCTTTATTACTAATGTTAATTATTAACTGCAAGTTAAAGAAAAATGGGTGATAAATAAATAAATATTGCATTTCTACATCTATGCTTACTTCTAATGCAAATCAGCAACGACAGGTTTGGTCTCTGGCGTTTGCTCCTCTAGTTCTGGACTGGAGCTACAAGGCTAACATAACTAAGAAGTAATGAAAGTATATCTATCCCAATTAGCAACAAGGGATTTTTGGGGATTTGGAGACCTCTGTGGTAGAAATGTGTAACTGCACATAACATGCGGAAGAACATTTTGCAGCGTGGGTTGTGCTTCTGACCCCTTCCCTGAGCGGATGACTGATGATTGAAAGAGAATTCAAAGAGAACTCGGTCTAAACTTGGTGAAGGAGCGTCTTCTGAGGATGTGAGTGAATTGTCTACTGTTGTCATCACATCTTCATCAGAATAATGTTGATCTTGCATGTGAGACCTAAGGATGAAGCTCGACCTTCGTTTTGACTCTGTGTGTATGGCGTTAATACGTAAAGATGTACGACGTGGTCCGAAAAACTGCCACCAAAAAACTGAGTAAGGCTACTTTTTAACAAAACAATCTTACAGTGCAGCTTTATAATGTTTGTATAATGATAAAACTGTTATATTAAACATCAGCATAGAGAAAAAAAAAACAAATATAATAAAGCACTGCTTGAGACAAGGTAAAATGTTAAGCTCTGCTCTCTGTTGCAGTTTGAGCTGGAGTTCAGACGGGATATCTGACGAACCACCCACAGCTGACTTCAGATCAGCATCATTACCTTTCCCACTGTAGGGGGAACAAAGGCTCACCTGCTGGTGGAGCTGAGGGTGGTGCTCTACATCAGCACCAGTGTCAGGAACCTCGTCCAGCTCCACGTGAAAGATGTAGAAGATGAAGCCGTAGAGAGCCGGACCCAGGCCGTTACAGAGGCCGCGGATACCTGTGATCATTCCCTGCCCCACACCTGCACACAGCACAAAACCCAGCGGTCAGTTCATGTCAATCTTCCTCAATCTGTAAAACCGCGCCCTGTTCTGCTTTACTGTTCCTTAAATTTGCAGTATTACCCAGACGTCAGTTTCGACCACACACATCTGACTGGTTGAGAAGTGTTACAGCCGTATAGTTATATCTGATTACATCACACCTGTGCCACTCTGCAGACCGCTGGTTACTAAGTAGAGAAGAAATAATGGCTGTAGAACCGCAACTGTGGTCAAAGCAGAGAATGTGTAGTCAGGAGAACTGTCCCTCAGTGTCTTCTGGGTTTGTCAGACTCTAGAGGGCGCTACCGAGTGAGTCTAAAATGAAAGGTTCCGTTGGAGCTTCAATTTCAACACTACTTTATATTTCTGAGCACTTTGGAACTCCAGCTATAGAATTTTCTAACAGTGTCTTATGTGCATTCATGACATCAGTGAGCTTTGGTCAGCCAATGAGCTGATCAGCTCACCAACCAATCAGGACTCCATAGCAGTAACGACAACCAATCAGCACTCCGTAGCAGTGATGTTCAAAACCTGTGAGCTGAAAAACAGAAGCTGATGCAACGTTTTTATATTTATTAAATCTTTCTACGTTCCAAAATTAATGTGCCACACAAATGGCTTGAAACTATTTACAATTTTTCATTTTTTGCCGTTTGGCCATTCACTCCCATTCACTGAGGACCAGCTCAATGGGTTTTTGCAGTCAGGTTTTTGGTGTAATGGGAGAAAGAGGAAGTGGGCAGGCTCCCCTAAACCTCTCATTCTCCAGGGTATATTTTGGTTTGTCCATCTGAATTTACATGACCAAATCATAAGGCAAATTATTTAGTAACTGCATGAAATTAATGTAAATTGTTTATTTTACTTTTTATTTTTTGTAAAAGCTCCCCTCAAATTAACAGAACATGTGTTTTATGATCACACATATTGCTATATGCTTACAGTTCACCGCTGAAAGCCAAAAATCTTAGACGCTCTTTGTATTATTTTATAAAAATAAACGTTTACAGAGCAGATCACTGAAGAGACGCCATCTGTTTATAGTTTATAGCCCAGATTTGTGGAAAAATGGGTCGACTTTCAGTAGAAAAAAAAAACTGAGTTCAGCTTCTTTTATTATAAGGGTTTAAAATTACATCACCCATCTATTTGACTGGAAAGAAGACAGTTACAGCTCTTATACGACCCCCACCTTTAGAATGTAGCTTATGAAATATGAAAGTTATGAAGAATATGACAAAGTGCGTTTTGGAACCACCGGTGGTCTCAAGGAGTTAAAAAGGTTAAAATACTAGTTTCTGGTTCAAGTTGACTGCGAGACATTTTTGGGAGAGAACATGAAAACAACAGTTTTAAAGTACCGTTGGAAACAGAAAACAAACCTTGCTGGTCTGGGTCGGCCGTGCGGGACACCAGGGCGCTGACGGCAGGGAAGGTGATGCTGGACATCGCAGCGACGGCTCCAGCGGCCCACATCATCCTGCAGAGAGAAAAACAGGGGAACAGCATTAATAACTACACTGTCTTCAGATGATCTCAGTGTAGAAATGCAGTCGAACGTGGTGATTTAACTGCTTTGCCAAACAGGAGTGTTAGAACAGAATCAATTATAACAATATTCAATAACATTTAATGTTCGATATGGACATAAAACGTGATGTTCAATAAAGCTGCTGGATCCAGACAAGCGATAAACTATTACTGAAATCATGGGTCTGTGACTGGATGAGCCATAAGTAGTTTATTTTTACGTTGTCTTCAAGCAAAAAGCCAAAAAAAATTAAAAACACATAACTACAACAGCAACACTCACTACTGTACAAACACTAATAGCTACTTACACCAATCAGACATAACATTATGACCACCTCCTTGTTTCTACACTCATTGTCCATTTTATCAGCTCCACTTACTATATAGGTGCACTTTGTAGTTCTACAGTTACAGACTGTAGTCCATCTGTTTCTCTGATACTTTGTTAACCTGTTCTTCAGTGGTCAGGACCCCCATGGACCCTCTCAGAGCAGGTACTATTTGGGTGGTGGATCATTCTCAGCACTGCAGTAACACTGATGTGGTGGTGGTGTGTTAGGGTGTGTTGTGCTGGTACGAGTGGATCAGACACAGCAGTGCTGCTGGAGTTTTTAAACACCTCAGTGTCACTGCTGGACTGAGAATAGTCCACCGACCAAAAATATCCAGCCAACAGCGTCCTGTGGGCAGCGTCCTGTGACCACTGATGAAGGACTAGAGGATGACCAACACAAACTGTGCAGCAGCAGATGAGCTATCGTCTCTGACTTTACATCTACAAGGTGGACTGACAAGGTAGGAGAGTCTAATAGAGTGGACAGTGAGTGGACACAGTGTTTAAACACTCCAGCAGCACTGCTGGGTCTGATCCACTCCGACCAGCGCAACACACACTAACACACCACCACCACGTCAGTGTCACTGCAGTGCTGAGAATGATCCACCACCCAAATAGTACCTGCTCTGTGAGGGTCCATGGGGGTCCTGACCACTGAAGAACAGGGTAAAAGGGGGCTAACAAAGTATGCAGAGAAACAGAAACAAGGAGGTGGTCATAGTGTTATGCCTGATCGGTGTATAACAGAATTGCAAGCACACAAGTAAGAAGGAATAAGGACAGTGTCTCTGATGTGAAGCGCTGCTCTTATGAAGCATCAAATGCTATTTGCCTGTTAACGGCGTCCCCTTGTCGAGAATTTTTAGTCTGAGAGATGTACGAGTTCCACGAAGTGCTTCAGTCTAAAAACAGTCAGGAGTCCCTGAACAGCTTTTTCTATTCTGGTTTCCAGTCACGTTTAAAAAAATCATCTGTAAATCACTTAAAAGGTTCCTTATGGTGATGCAAGTTTGTTGTAACAGTAGCCATTACATTTTACAGGCTGGTAGGGCAGAATAGTTTTTGAGTTGTGTGAAATTACTTGCTCTCCACCAGGTGAAGCACTAGTTGGGCTTCTAGCGCTACGTTCCCGCCAATGTCATTACGTCACTTTGGCCTTGCGGCTGTGGAGTAATCTGAACTGTTCTTTCATCAAAGCCCTCAACGATGTGTCCTATCGCGGAACTTGTGCATCACAATACCATTTATCGTGCAGCACTAGGGTGCGCTCTAGTTTTGTGGCCAAAAGAATATTCTCTGGCTGCTCACTTACATAAAAATCCTTAAAAAGTCCTCCAGTCACATTTGTATATTCAGTGACTCAACCATCATGGTGAACTGCGATACTTCTTAATATACTGAATCACTGGCTGTGTTTACATGCAAAGATGTTTGCTAATCCGACTGAATACATTCCAACTATAGATTAAGACTGAGGTGTTTATTCTCACTCTACACAACAATCTGATCAAAATCTGTTTATATGCAACTACAATTAATCAGATCCAAAATTACACGCATGCGAAGGGAGCCACTTAGTGTAAGCGTTACCATGACAACAACCATCACCTGAGTCCAGTCAGAGTGAGATGAGCAGCAGTGAGCAGTGCTTGTGTTTTTAATTGCTTTAAAATGATGTCAGACTCAGGAAAACGTCCTTCACATGTCCTTATTAAAGAAGGCCGAGAGGAAGACGTCGTGTTCTGAGACACATAAGCTGGACGTCCGTCCCACCGCCGTCTTTTAAAGACCAGAGCATAAACTTCGTCTCCTCTGCAGACCAGTTTCTGCTCCGCCATGTTGAACATTATAAACTTTCACTATGACGTGACGAACATGATCAGAACGGACTTAAACTTTCAGATAGGGAATGTAATCAGATACAGGCGTTTACACGGATATTATTCTTCTATTTAACGGATTATTTACAGGATTACCCACCTCGTTCAATCAGATAGAAACTGTATTCCGAATGGCCTCAATCAGACTAGTCTAGTGTAAACACGGACATGTTCTATTCCGATTGAGCTATTATTAACGGATATCAGGCTGCATGTAAACGTGGCTGCTGTGAGGTCAGATTTAAACCCTTTACTTCAATGGTTCTGCGAGACTTTATAGTGAACCAAATGATCCTCAGACTCACCACGGCTCTGATCCGAACCCGTACCAGGCCAGCTGCAGAATCTGGAACCCCAGTCCCAGCAAGATTGTGTTCTTGTTCCCGATGGAACGCATTAGTAAACTTAACACTACAGTCTGAGTTGGAGAAAAAGGTAAATAAATGAATACATGCACTGTGAGAACATATGCAAACGTAAATCTGAATAGGCAAAATACGAACCTGTGCAACAATTGAAAGCAATCCTAGTACAGCTATGAAAGCAGCAACACTTTCAGGGGAAAAGCCCATTATCTAGAACAAAGAACAGATTAATAAATCATTCTTGTTGTCATTAATGTTTGTTCCAGCAACCTAAAGCTGGGTTACATGGTGAAACTTTAATGCAACTTTAGTTGCGTGAAACTTACGTGAAACTACATTTTACTTAAGTTGCATAGTATACAGCATGCTGCAACTCATCTGAAACTCAGCTACAACAGTCAACTTTGTGGAACAGGCTTCATGAAACAGGCTGATAACCTCATCACAATTTCAAGTTCACTAGGTCAATGGACCCAGTCAATGGTCAATGGATGGTTGAAAAAGAATCCTCCTGACCAATGAACGTTAAGGCTAATGTTGCTAATAATGGCTTCGTTCACATTACAAGCCTCGTTGCTCAAATCCGATTTTTTGCTCAGATCCGATCTCTCTGACATGATGGTTCACACTTGTTTAGGTAAGTGACTCAAATCTGTCATTAATGTGACGAACCGGCGTTCTGAAATGACCCTCATGAGCTCATCCTACTCAGTAACGTCACGTGAGTGAATCACGTTCATCATCAGCACAAACTAACGAGCAGAACGAGCTTCGCTGAGAACATAATTAACTCTGATCAGCTCTCAGCTTCATTATTAGAGCGAGACGAAGGAGAAAAAGGTGAGATGAGCTGCTTTTCCACCATTTACAGGCTTTAACTTCTGTTCGGCGCTGCTGCCATGGTAACGCTGAATGATGGCACAAAAAAAGAAGGATGGAAAAAAAAAAGCACATGAAATCTGATCTACGACCTTATACGAAAGTGTCTCAGGTCAGAAAGTTTGAAAAGATCAGATCTGTGAATAAACCTGAATAAGGCTGTGTTCACATTACCAGGCTGAAGTGGCACAAATCTGATTTTTTGCCCTAATGTGACTCAGATCTGATGTTTTCAGAGCTGTGTGAAAATGCAAATCTGATCTTTTCAAATCCAACCTGAGCCACTTTCATATGTGGTCCTAGATCGGATACGTATCCGATTCGTGGCCATGTGACCTCAATGTGACGCTCAGATCTGAATTCATGTGCTTTATCTCCACTGCGCCATCATTCAGCGTTACCATGGCAGCAGCGCCGAACAGAAGTTAAAGCCTGTAAACGGTGGAAAAGCAGCTCATCTCACCTTTTTCTCCTTCGTCTCGCTCTAATAATGAAGCTGAGAGCTGATCAGAGTTAATTATCTTCTCAGCGAAGCTCGTTCTGCTCGTTAGTTTGTGCTGATGATGATCGTGATTCATTCACGTGACGTTACTGAGTAGGATGAGCTCATGAGGGTCATTTCAGGACGCCGGTTCGTCACATTAATGACAGATTTGAGTCACTTACCTGAACGAGTGTGAACCATCGTGTCAGAGAGACCAGATTTGAGCAAAAATCGGATTTGAGCAACGAGGCTTGTAATGTGAACGTAGCTTAACACTTCTGGCAACCAGTTAGCATTAGCAAAAGGGATTATCCTAACTGGTTCCCACTAGTGTCCATCATGTGCCCCGTAAGCATTTGTTGTGTGATGTAATCTCCACACTGACCTGTCGCAGGTACAAGAAGAAGCTGGAGTACTGTCCAGCCTCGGGGAGATATGAGAGAAACACTGTAATGCAGATGAGCAGCACTGTGGAGTCCTGGCCCACTTTCCTCAGGGACTGCAGAAAGAAACAAAGTAGATAAAAGTCTTTTGATTGTTTATCATTTGAGCTCTTCTGTGAAAAACCACTGTCAACTGTCAAATCAAAGCTAGGCATCTGGGTGCAGCCTATCAGAGTAAAGTATGCAGGGAGGGGGCGGGGCCTATGCTATGGACACATCCGCGCTAAAATGACTGGACTTAAAAATTGAAGGTTGGGGTTTATTTTGTTAGAACAGCTGAAAAAAATACACTGGAGACGTATCGCCCCCTACACTTCCTGTAGTGTATTGCAGTCTGTCAGAATGACTGTCCAGTCATCGGCTAAAGGTTAGGGAACCAGCCTTGTGATCGGAAGGTCGCCGGTTCAATCTCCTCAGCCGACAGTACGTGACTGAAGTGCCCTTGAGCAAGCCACCTAACCCCCAACTGCTCCCCGGGTGCCGTGGATAGGGCTGCCCACTGCTCCGGGCAAGTGTGCTCACTGCCCCCTAGTGTTCACTAATGTGTATGTATGTGGGTGTTTCACTGTACGGATGGGTTAAATGCAGAGGTCTAATTCTTCTGTGTGCAAACACAGTAGGCTGATGGTTCTGAATTCAATTCAAATTAAACTGTAGATCATATGGAAAAAGCTTGAAAGTGCTCGAATTTGACCTTGGAAAAGGTGCATAAACCCTGCAGAGTATTATTATAGGGTGTTTTAAACATTGGCTTTTTTGATATAACAGACAAAAGTAGGCTTTATCAGCAAACTGTAAATGATTTTAGAGCAGTGTCAGTTCAGTTATACCCTCTTAGTGCTCTGGGTCATTTAGCAATAACTTTCAAAGAGCTGTTTAAAACATTTCTTCATTTTTTATTATCCATTTTTATTTTAAAACTGTTAGGTTTCTCTGAAATGTCTGATGAGAAGAATGGTTTTGTCCTGTTGGCTGTGTTAGACGCAGCAGCATTGTTGGCTGTACAATGTGAGCTTAGCACAGAATGCAGCGAACTGACTGACGCAACACTCTGCTCGCTCTGTCCCTGATTTCCCTTAGGGAAGCAATACAGCACCTGCTTCTGTTGACACTGTAAACCTTGCACCATCATATACCTGTTGGGATTTGTTTGTTATATTTGTCATTTTATTTCTCTCTTTTTCCCCCCAAATATATCCAAAATATATCTTTTTATTTCTAAGAAACTGTTTTCACTGAAGGAAGCAAGGATTATTAGTTGTCGATGATCTCAGGAAAAAAGTCATTGTTTACTTTAAAACAATCAACAGTAATACAGTCACTCTGACAGATACACCTGAATACACTACAGGAAGTGTAGGGGGCGATATGGCTTCTACTGTTTCATTTAAAAAGCCTCTATAATGTTCATATGATCCACACAGTCACTCTGACAGACTGTAATACACTACAGGAAGTGTAGGGGGCGATATGGCTTCTACTGTTTCATTTAAAAAGCTCTATAATGTTCATATGATCCACACAGTCATTCTGACAGACTGTAATACACTACAGGAAGTGTAGGGGGCGATATGGCTTCTACTGTTTCATTTAAAAAGCCTCTATAATGTTCATATGATCCACACAGTCACTCTGACGGACTGTAATACACTACAGGAAGTGTAGGGGGCGATATGGCTTCTACTGTTTCATTTAAAAAGCCTCTATCATGTTCATATGATCCACACAGTCACTCTGACAGACTGTAATACACTACAGGAAGTGTAGGGGGCGATATGGCTTCTACTGTTTCATTTAAAAAGCCTCTATCATGTTCATATGATCCACACAATCACTCTGACGGACTGTAATACACTACAGGAAGTGTAGGGGGCGATATGGCTTCTGTTTCAATACACTATAAAAGAAGTAATCGGTTGTCGCACAGACAGAACTCTGATAGCGGTGCTGTGATGGGCAAGGTGAGAGGAAACTACCAAAGGCATAATGACTCAATTAGTTGACTTAATTAACTGAATGGCAGTCAACAGATTAATCAATTACGGAAATAATCAATCATTAATTGTAGCACTAATTCCAGTTTCAACTCCTGTGAGCCATAACAGTGTAGGTTTTGTCTTAGTTGTTTAAAATAATGAAAGTGTACCAAACACTCTGGAGCAAAAGGCATAATGGTTATATTAGTTGAATAATCAAATAACTAATGATTGATTTAATCAATCAATCAATCAATCAATCATTAATTGAAGCCCTAATTCAATTTTCAACTTTTGTGAGACAAAAGTGCAGGTTTTGTTTCAGTTTTTTTTTTTTTATAACATCAGTGTAAAATACCTCCCTGGTGCAAAAAGCATAATGATTAAATTAATTAATTAATCAAATAACAGGTGACAGATTAATCAATTAGAGAAACAATCATTACTTGCCGTTCTAATTTCATCTGCAACTACTGCGATTCGTACCCGTGTTGTTTTTCTTTCAGCTGTTTATAAACAATGCCAG